CGATGAAAAACGGTTACAGACAGTTTTTTATTTTTTTAGAAAATATTTGGAAAGATATGGTGAATATTTACTAACCATATTTCCTAGATTTTAGGATATTTTCGCAGAATATATATTCTACCACCCATAGACAAAAGGAAAAAACTGGAAGATGAATTCTACGAATAGTGGATTATAGTAGTTACGGTAGAATATATATTCCGAAAATTGGTAGAATATAGAACAAACATTAGAACGTGTACTCTACGAAATCAATTAAATCATAGAATATAGAGTAATGAGTAGAACCTATATTCTACGGGTGCGTAGATATATCAATAATCCGTAGAACCTATATTCTAAATACAGTAGACTCAGACCAATTTGTAGAATATATATTCTACTACCCCGTAGACGGTAGAATTTGATTTCTAGAAAAGGTAGAATAAAAAATTATTTTCAATTCTAACCATATTTTTAAAATAAAAAAAAATATACTTACATTCTTCCCAATGACTCTTTTATTGTTTTGAATTTTTCTAATTTTTTTGGCTGTTAAAACTATTTTAATGATTTATTAGAAATGTCAAAATGGCAAATTAGGTAAAAATAGAGAAAAAGGTAGTAGGACAAAATCAAATCAAATTTGACCCATTTACACAATTTTCGCTTGTTTTTTCTAGTCGGCAAAATGCAATTCTATTTGACAATAACTAAATAGTTTAGAAATTATTTAAAAAAATATTGTGTTTTTTTTTTGTTGGTATTATTCTATAGTAATGAAATGATTTGGTTAGATAAATGGGAGGATCATAATTTACCAAATTAAAATAACAAGAGCACAATAAACCAATCATTATATACCAAACAATCTATTTTTACATTCAAAACATGAAAAAATGAAAAAAGGATAAAGAATTACAGTAATTCTTGGGTATTTAAAATTCCTCGACAAATTTCCATTAGCATAACAACATAACTGATCCTCGAAGTTATTAATGTCCGTACAGTTTTTTTGGTTGGTTTGGGGGTAAAGTTAAGTTTCATCTCCCTTACCAATTTTGTAACTGAACTGTGTCTCTCTCCAATGAACCTTCGCGCAGACATAAACAGCTCACACTTCTCCCCA